TCTCCTGGAGCATTCCGATGTATAGCCAAGGTTGGAAAGCACTGCTCCAAGCAGATGCAAGAATCCCTTTTGTTAAACTAGGGACTTATGTTTGAAAGCATATATTGATTTCTTATAAGCACCCATGAAAGCTCAGCAGTTAGAGCTGGAAAAGGAGTTCAGTCAAGGTCAACCTCTTTGCCCTGAGCAGGGAAATGCGAGGCCATTTTACAGCAGGAACACGGGAGACCCAGAGCAACGAGGTGGCTTGCCTAAGCCCCACACTTACTACCCATGGACTCAAAAGTAGGATCACGTGTTCTGCCTGAAGCTTCATCCACAGCTTCATACAACCAGGACCACAGGGTTCAAAGAAGGCCTCTCCATGCCAGGCAGGCCCACTCTGATCAAGCAGTTGTTCTATAAAAATGCAAAAACTGGAATGTTGCTAAATATATCAGAAAAGCGAAAAATGATCAGAATCAATTGGCCAACTTTGGTTTGGTTGGCTCAAAATGAGAAATTGATGGATATCTTTATTGCGTGGGAAAATAAACTTTAGAAATAAGTCAGAGGAAAAAAATAAAACCTAAACCTTTACTTTGAAAAGTTTAAAAGCAAAAATATACAGGACTTCTAATGAATTGACTTAAATATCCAGATATTTAGCTAATAATTGTAGATGGCCTTGGTTCTTTTTTGATCCTCACAACAGAACAGATTTGCAGCTTTGAACTGGAAGAAAGCTTTCAAAATCTCTGACTCAGGGACTTTCTGGGTATAGAGGGAGACAAAGTTGGCTTTTTTTTTTTTTTTTTTTTGTAAATATAGAGAAAAGAAAGTAAAGTTCCCACCTTGAAAATCATCTGCTCTTTTACCAATTAATCTGTGTGCTGAGTACATGTGTGTCACTTATTGAATCCCTGTGTGTCTTTTAGAACCTACTTGCCCTTATCAAGAAAACCACTGAATCAATCAATAAACTTGATAAGAAATAAAGGTGCTTATTAGGCTTATTAAGTAAGCAAAGGTGATAACAGAATAGAAATATTAAGAGGCACTCCACAGACCTAAATTACTTCTTGTTGTAAGTTTGCCTGAACTTACACAGGAGGAAGAGTTCCAAAAAGTGTATGTATGTTATAGATTTTTCTTATCTTTGACTGCATTTTTATATTTTTTTAAAATATATTTTATTGATTTTTTACAGGGAGGAAGGGAGAGGGATAGAGAGTTAGAAACATCAATGAGAGAAAAACATTGATCAGCTGCCTCCTGCACATCCCCCACAGGGGATGTGCCTGCAAACAAGGTACAAGCCCTTGACCGGAATCGAACCTGGGACCCTTCAGTCCGCAGGCCGATGCTCTATACACTAGCCAAACCAGCCAGGGCATGACTGCATTTTTAACTGCCTCAAAAGAGTTGGCCATTAGAAAAAACCTGGAGTAAATCCGGAGGGCTATTGTTAATGAGAATTTTGAGACCTTAATCTCTGACCCCGTTCAAGTTGTCTAAAAGCACAGGCACACCCATACCATAAAATCTGAGATAACTATTCCCCATTCCTAATGTGTCTCCTTGAGCACCACAGCAAAGAAATGTCAAAGCTAAGTCTATGGGACATCAAGACAACCAGCCAATTCAAAGACAATCACTCAAGCCTGCCTTTCATCATCACATGGGTCTTACCCTACACAAGTAACAAGAGTAAAAAAACAAAAACAAACAAAAAAAGTTGTTCAATTCGTTCATTTTCTATAGGTGGGATTGAGTTCATTATACACAATCTCATTGCTTTTAAAAAGGAAGTCAACCAGATCTAATTCAGGCATTGCACAAATCATTTTATCAATGGACTGAAAGCTTTGTCTCCAGTGGTGTTGGCTTTGTGCAAGCCCAGGATATTGAGTGACCTAAGGAAGTGAATGCCAAAAGAACTACCCAAATTAGTTTAGACCTGAGGTCAGCATACTTTATCTGTAGAGGTCCAGGTAGTAAATATTTTAGGCTTTGCAGGCCAGATAATCCCTGTGGCAACTACTCAACTCTCCCGTTATAGCAAAAGCAGCCTATACAACATGTAAACAAATAGACACGGATGTGCTCCTGTAAAATTGTGTTTACAAAAACAGGTGTGTTGGGACAGATTTGGCACACCAGCCATTGCGTGCAGACCCCTGAGTTAGACAGAGCCTAGGAAAACTAATTGTAAGATCCTATCACTCAAGAATATTTTGTGCCTTTTTAACCATTCTAATCAAACTGTGGGGAAGGACAGACATGAAGGAATCTGCAGCAACCTGATCACTCGAGATGGGCCCACAGAGGTGTCGCAGGAGGGAAGGGCTTGCTCATCACTATCATTACTTATCATTACTTATCATTTAGCTCTGACAGAAACGTTGTAAGGGGGTGATTAGCGCCCCCATTTTCTAGGCTGTTAAGAATATAAGGTGAGATAATTCGGCTGAAGAGCCAATTTTCAACCCCAGACTCATCTCACTCCATCGCTCCTGCCGTTTCCGCTCACTGACTGTTAGTAAATGGCCTGAACAAGGGCTTCTTGTTGGGGTGGATGTTAGTGCTTCACCTCCTCAAGGAACCTGCAGGACCAAGTGCGGAAGCCAGGGGGAGAATTTGCAGGTTGAGTGACTACTTCATCCAATTGATCAGTCAAGCAAAGCTCAAGTCCATGAATGGGGCTTGAAGATTTCCATGTCTATGTGCCAGCAGTTCTGAGCTGATCTGAGCTAAAGCCCATGTTCACATTTAGTCCACACACGGGGGTCATGGGCCAGGTAGGGAGGAGGCAGCAATCACAAAGTGAATGTTTTCTTAACCCTTTCCAGAACCTCACAGCACAGTCATTTCAGCTCATGCCTCCAGGATGTTTTCTGAAAAAAGAAAGTGCCTTTTCAGCACTCTTGGTGTCTGATTTCAAGCCCTGCCCTTCCACCAGGTGATATGAAGTGGGCTGACACACGCTGCCCTATTTTTACTGGTTTTCCCACAGGGCTTAGTCACCTAGGTGCCCTCAGTGCCCTAGACAAGGGCCTTACTTGGATCCAGGGTAAGATCATGGCTCTGGTGCCTGGGGCCTTCCCTAAGTCCCTTTAAGGTGCCAAAGGACAATGAGAGAGAATCTTCACTATGTGCCTCGGTCATGGAGAAAGTTTGCGCAGTTATTCCACTGATGAGCTTACAGTGCGGTCTCCCTAAGGATGGGGTTTTGTGGCCCCCGATTTGACCTCCAGGGTATGAGCAGACAACATGCCTCTAGCGTCCCATTTTATAAAAGTTCTAGTCTCTTAAGAGGACTCAAAGAAGAAGAAATGTAGTGTGTAACCAAGAGGGGAGAATATGAATGCAAGAAGCAGTCCCTGTCTCAGACACTGAAGCAAAACCAGGGCAATCGACACCGTTTCCACAGCATCTCAGCTTACTCAGGGGGCTCTGCAGAATGGCTGTTACCTGTACCCCATTTTACATGGGTAACCCTAAAACTTACAAATAAAAGGAGAATGCCTTGCTCTGAGTAGATAGGAATCAAAGCAGAAGTCCCTCCAGGGGGCTCACATAGAACCCACTGACTCAGCTCTGAGTGTCAGGGTGTAGGGACCCACAGCAGGTCCCAGTAGAGGCAGTGATGCCCACCTACCCTTGGCCATAGGCATGCCCAGGGGGCTGGCTCCCATTGTCCCTGAAGGCCAGGGTCTTGCTGTATCCTCCTCTAGTAGCAGTTACACGCCACCCATACTAGAATATCCCCAACTCTCTTGGAAGGATTCCATGACTCTCAAACCCAAATTAGAATTCATTTCTTTTTATTTTAAAAAATTGCATCTTGCCAATATCAAACAATGATGAGACTTCATGATCTGAGAGATTTTGAAGTCATTCCTCCATATTACACATTAACCAGCTCAATTCCAGGGAGTTTACACAAGAAATACAGGAACAATGAATTGGTGATAAAGGGATTGTAAGTTATGTTTTAATCAATGAAGGTATATTTTCAGACCTTTAAGGGCTCCAATAGAATATCTTTTGTAAAATAAACACACTCCCTAATTTATCTTTTTCTGTAAATCTAGATTTTCTTATATTAAGTTTGCTTGAGGTAGGGCATACCTGAATTCATGAAAAGGCATTTTAAAATGATCAATAGAGCCATTTTTTAGTAATACTTCTTTCTTGAGGAAGTCCAGATCCGAGCCCCAATAAGGTTCAACTCGCATGTGGCCACTGAGTTGACTTTGTTATTTCCAGAAAGAAATGTAGTAGATAATCTCTGTATGATTTCAATTATTAATAACACGAGTCTCCGTTCAGTCCCACATAATGGAAAATAAAGTTCACGATTGTTCCATCCGACTCCAGGGATAAACATCAAGTAACAGATAAACCTGCTGTCCTTTTGCACCCGCCTTGCCACAGAATGAGAAGAATGACAAGAGGCAGGACAGTGCAGTGATGAAGCCACGCGTGACAAAGCCCACCTCCCCTGTCCCCCCCACCCCCCAGTGTCCACAGACACAAACCACGCCCGCCTGGCAGAGGCTAAGCGACTCGGAGAGCAGCGGGCCCACGGAACTGAACCGTGGGCTACAGAGCAGCTGTTTATAAAATAAAGTCACGTAAAGACCTCCCTGGCTTTCCCCTCCCTGCCCCAAACAGTAGCACATTTGACTTTTGTTGTGTGAATCATAAACCGCCCTTTCTTCCCCGCAGTGATTCATGCCCAGCAGCCGAGGGACCACAGCCTTCCCACCTGGGAACAGTAGTTCGTTCCCCTCCAACCTGGAAAGTCAGCATCACCCTGATCACCCTGCCAGAGTGCTTTCTCCATGGGCTCTGTCTCACCCACCTCCTTCCTCCCTGCGCTCCTGGCTGGGACCCCAGACCCTGCTCCCCCCCCCCATTCCGCTACCACCACCTCCCAGTTTCAGGCTAACTGGTGAGCCCCCCGCCCCTACCCACGCTGATGGGGCTCTGACAGCCACAGGCACAGCACTTACATTTTTGCCAGAGCATGGCCTGTGACAGGATGTTGCCTTTTTTCTTTGAAGCAGACAGTTTGGCTTCTTTAAGGTGAGACCTGGGTGTGCTTTCCTCCAGTGGAGCCACTGCCTGCTCAGGGCCGCTTCCTCAGCTTTTTAAAGGCTGGTTCCCGCTGCGCAGAGGCACAGGCACGGCGTCATCACATCCTCCACCCCCCTCCCCCCAGGCCCCGCCGCGTCCTCAGGAGGCTGCCTGTCACCCACCTGTCTCCCACCCACAGCCTTGGAGCCCGCCAGCTGCAGACCGCTGGCCGGAGCCCGCCAGCTGGACCTGAACAACCCCCCGGCGCACTAGGCCATGGTCCTTCCGACGTGGCCTGAGTGTGCTGTGACGTGTGGTGAGTGGGAAAGGTGAATGAGGGCGACCTGTGTGCGATGTGTGTCCAGTCCTCTGTGTCCCCACACAAACGAGGAGCCCCAAAGGTCCCCATGGAAAACTCTGGGTTTGCTGTGGTCCCCACTCCAGGCTTCTACACCACCAGGATGTGAGCGGGGACTCAGTCTGCCATGGGCCCTGCTCACGGGAAATGCTATCCCCACGGGGTCACTGATTCTCACTTGCTGGAGGAAACACCTGTAGCCTCTTCAAGCCTCACTAAACAACCTCCTCATTCTTTTAATATTGCTTTTCTGTTGATTCCATTTTGAAACACAGCAGCCCCTCTCCTTGCCCCCCAGCCACCACCAAATGGCAAGTTTTACTCATGGTTAAGTGGGGGGATACTGTTCTAATGGTCCACAGGCCCACGGAGGAGGCAACTCACACAGGGGAGAGAAGAGAGGACGCTCTGCTCTCCAGCTGGGCGGGCTCCACAGTGGGAATCTGCAGGCGCAGTGTGAACAGGCCTCTCTCCCAGGGCCCCCCATCTGTCAGCATGAAGCCCTTGGAGGAAGGTAATGGGGTCCATCATCAGGGAGTGTTTAGGGTGTTAGGCTATGGGGTCCTTCCCAGTTTGGAAGCCTTCAGTCATGTGTATGTGAAGTCCACATGTTTGGGCCCCAGTGACCCACAGCTTGGAATCAAGACCACCTAGGGCAGACCTTGCTGCCGTGTCCCACGGCTGCCTCAACGCCATCTTACACAACCTAGATTGGACCATGCCATTGCCCAGTTTTAAAAGCTTTCCCCTAGCCGGCTTGGCTCAGTGGATAGAGTGTCAGCCTGCGGACTGACGGGTCCTAGGTTCAATTCCGGCCAAGGGCATGTGCCTGAGTTGTGGGCTCGATCCCCAGTGGGAGGCGTGCAGGAGGCAGCTGATCAATGATTCTCTCTCATCATTGATGTTTCTCTCTCTCCTCCCTTCCTCTCTGAAATCAATAAAGAAATATATATATATTTTTTTAAAAAACTTTTCCCTACTCTCTCCAGTCCAGAGCTGGAGGCACAGAAGGCCTTTCACAATCTAGCCTAGCCGTGGGCAAACTACGGCCTGCAGGCCGGATCCGGCCCATTTGAAAAGAATAAAACTAAAAAAAAAAATGACCTACCACCACCCCCTCCACTGGTCCCCAGTGACTTCTAAGCTCCACTCTGCACATTCATGCAATTTCCTGCGTTCGATCTTGCAATCCTCTCTTGCCCGGTTCCTCTTCCCCAGTTCCTTCTTTTTCAATATCTAGCTCAAGTAGTACCTTTTTTGATGAAAAAATGTTCTGACCCACCAAACCTCCTAGCCGAGAAAATATCAGGCTCCCTCTTTTCTCAGCTCTTGGAGTACTTTGTTCCTTGTATGACAGCAAATTGGTACATGACTGTAGGTTTCTCAAGGAGGGTTCCCTGCCTCCTGCTACCTCACATTCAACCTGGAGCATACCTGTCCCTCAATAAAAGCTCAGTTGAGGAAGTAACGGATTTAATAAATTACTGTCTGCTAATGGGTTGGTTTGAGGCCAGGTCTTGAGAAATGTTGTCCACATGAAGGGCTCACTGAAAACTGAGAAGTCTACCTCTTGGGTGGGTTTTGAGCCCTCACCCCAAAGCCTCTGGACTTCTGGACAGGGAAGGCCCCATGCGGTCAGTGGCCTGGCAGGGAGCAGTGTCACAAGGCCATGAGCCACACTGAGAAGTGTCCACTGGAAACACACATCCGTCAGGCCTGGCTCAGTCATAGGAGATGCTGGTTCCCATCGAGGCTCTGCCCCTCACTGGCTGTGCCCCCTTGACCATGTCAGGTAACTCTTCCGAGCCTCAGTCTCCTTGCTTATGAACTGAAGAAGCTGCTCTAAGGATGTTTCATTCGGTTCTTAGGGGGAATGTGACCTCATGGGTCCCCTCACATTGATCTGTGTTTTGGGCATTTGTCTTATTCTCTCCAAATTCACAACATTAAGAACTTTTCAAAATCCATCTTTGCTTCTCTTTGCAAGCCTAGCTAGCATAATGATTCCCATGAAGTCATAATAATAACTATTTATTATGCCCCAAACTCCACATTAAGTCTTAACTGCATTATCTAGTCACCACAGCTCTGAGGAAACTTCTATCCATATTGTTCAGAGAAACAAGCAAATTTTTAGGAAATTTGATTTATTCAGTGCCACAGGGCTGTTAGGTGCAGGCTAGGTGTTAGAACCCAGCTCATATAACTAGAGACAGAGCTTTAAATACTAATAGATATTCATTAAATTGAGATCAGTGAAAGCCAAATGTCAGCCATGTTTATTAGTAGTAACATACGATCACTGCTCTTAAAACCTGGAGCTGATCAACAGATGTTTATATCCCCTGGGATAAATCCTTATCCTCTGGAGAAAGAGGGAGGAGAAGACAAACCCAGTAGTGCTCTGACAAGTCAAATCTTATACAGTGTCAGGGAAAAAAAATCTCAATTGGCAAGTCCACCATCATGGCCAGCAATAAACCCTGCCACTTAGACAACCACGAAGCTCAGGAAGCACATGCCAGCTCAGTGCTCCCAACAATGACCTTAGACATCAATGACCACACATGGGCAGATACTTGGGAACCAAGACTTGATCAGAATGGCAAATATTTGCTGAAAAGACATTTCCTGTGACTCAGATCAAAGGTCAAACTACAGCCCTGGCCGGTGTGGTTCAGTTAGTGGAGCATGGTCCCATGCACCAAAAGGTCACCAGTTCAGTTCCTGGTCAGGGCACACGCTCGGGTTGGACAGGGGTACATGTTGGAAGCAACCAATCAATGTTTCTCTCCCTCCCCCTCCTTTTCTCTGTCTCTAAAACAGTGGTTCTCAACCTTCTGGCCCTTTAAATACAGTTCCTCATGTGTGACCCAACCATAAAATGATTTTCGTTGCTACTTCATAACTGTAATATTGCTACTGTTATGAATCGTAATGTAAATATCTGATATGCAGGACGGTCTTAGGCGACCCCTGTGAAAGGGTCGTTCGACTGCCAAAGGGGTCACGACCCACAGGTTGAGAACCGCTGCTCTAAAATCAATATAAAAATATAATTTTTTAAAGAAGTCAAACTACCTGGCATAGTTCAAAAAAAGGACAAGCTATCCATGTTTATGCAATATCTCAAGAAGCAGAGAAATAAAAGAAAATCTGATAATGCCATCCAGATGTGCTCACATTTTCAAAAAATTGATATACCGAAATTAAAACTCCTAAAATAATTCAGTGAAGAGCACTGATCCATATTGCAAAAAGAACTCTTACCTTGCAAAAAGGATTCACCACAGATTTCATTTCTTCCTTCACTCAACAAATATTTACTAAGTGCTCATTATGTGCTATCATCTATATCAGGCCTTATTTTTCTCTTTTCATCTGGGTTTTTATTGCCCTCTTTATCCATAGCACTTTATCACCACTGGTCCATAAAAGGCCCCTCTCTTATTTATTCATTCATTCTTTTGTTTATTCATCATTCATTCATTCACTTTTCTGTGTACCTTCAATGCATATTCTTTTTTTTGTGTTTCACTAATTTGTGGGGGAAGGGGGTTTTTTGTTTTATTTATTTACATTTTTATTGATTTCAGAGAGGAAGGGAGAGGGAGAGGGAGAGAGAGATAGAAACAATAATGATGAGAGAGAATCATCGATCAGCTGCCTCCTGCACACCCCCTACTGGGGATTGAGCCTGCAACCTGGGCATGTCCTTGCCTGGAATCGAACCTGGGACCCTTCAGTCCACAGGCTGATGCTCTATCTACTGAGCCAAACCTGCTACAGCCATGTATATTCTTTTTCCTGTTTCCATTCACCTCCAATAGTCACCTGTCATTTCAATCAAGCAATGATTTTCATCTGGATGATGTTAAATCTTTTATTTGTAAATAAAATATATTCATAACCTGTTCTTGTGAAATCTGTATGGTTTTGCACTGGATTTTTAATTGATGTAGGTGCTATAGTGTTAGAGAGCTCATACTGCTTCTTATCTCATCACTGTAAGATCCATCCACATTGCTATGCATGCTTTCCATCTGTCATTTCTAAATGCTTGAAAGTTTTTCATGGAATGCAAGCACTGCCTTTTACATAACCAGATTCTTTCCAACTCTCCCTCCACAAAGCAAAGCATCAATAAACATGCTGCTATGTACCCTTGTACAGAGGCATATGAAAATTTCCTTGGGGTTACATGCACAGAGGTAGAACTCCTAGGTCAAAGAATACGCATAAATGTGGGCTGACTAAATACAACCACATTGCTCTCCAGGCTCCCTGCAGCAGCTCATGAAGCTACCCGTGTCACCACCAGACTTGGCATCAGCAGCTTTCTAATTTTTGCCAACCTAATGGGTATAGTGATAGTTCACTGTTGTTTCATTTTACGTTACTAACAGCAATAAATTTGAGCATCTCTTCATATGTTTGCTAACCTTCTGGATTTCCTCTTTTCTAAAATTTCTGTTCACTCCTTTGCCAATTTCTCTACTGAATTTGCTGTATTTTTCTTATTGATGAGCAGTTTTTTGTATATTCTACAAGTGGAATTCTAGATATCATCAGTTTTAATCAATGCAAATTTCTTTTCCTAATCTGTAATCTGTAAACTTCACTCATGGTGTCCTTTTTTAAAATAGATATACTTACATTATGTATATGGGCCTGCCTTTGAATT